TTTGAATAGCCTGTGGTAAGCAGACAGGCAACGGAGTACTACACTGCTCTAATACAGGGCGAGGCAGAGCTCTGTGAACTAATATGGAGTAATTTCCCACGTTCGTTACTAAAAAAGCAGAATGTAAAATATATGTGTCACCTTTTTTATAGAAGAAGGGGAAAAGATAAAACATGTATCTCTTTACATAAAGAAATCCTGAAGGGACAAACCAACAAACAATGAAGGTCAGTGCCTTGGCAGAGATGGAGTAGAGGGACATGCTATCAAGGACAGGAGTGACACTGATCCAAATCCATCTTTTACTTTTGTTTTTGTTTTCTTGAGATGAGGTCTCACTGGATAACCCAGGCAGGCCTCAAACTCCCAGAGATCCTCCTGCCTCAGCCTCCCAAGTGCTGGGATTATAGGCACATGCCACCACACCTGGCTAAATACTTCTTTTTCTATCAGTTCAACTTTTGAAAGCTGGTTAATATTTACATATTCAAAAAAATTAAAATCAACAAGAAAAGGAAGGGGAGAGGAAGCCTAGAGGCACACCCTACGGGGCTGCTCCACCTGGGCAGGGCTGGCTCTGAGCTCCGTGTGGCGACCTTCGGCTTGAGGGGGGCCAAGCCTTCTGCAAAAGCACCTGGCTTCCTTGGGTGTGGTTGCTGTTGCAATGCAGGGTTCTGTAAGGTCAGAGGTGTGAATGGGTCACTCGGTGAGAAAGTGTGGGATATGGACACACAATGGGAGAGGCCGCCAAAAGTAAGGACATCGCTGGGGGTTCCGCACTCCAGGGGCTCTGTCCAGGATCACACACGTGCACAAGGAAACCCACAAGCACGTAACGCTGTATCGCATGTACACATGTGCTCAAGTGTGAAGGCCTCAGTCTGTTCTGGCAGTGTAACATGGGGCCTTAGGCCAGACACACTTTGCATTTGTGGGAGGGTGTGCCAGGAATAGCAGGAGGTACTGCTCACGGCCCTGGGGGGAGTCCTGCTCGCCCCACAACATCCTTGTGGGCAGCTGCTTCCTGGATGCTGCCTTTCGTGCACCCTCGAGTGTCAGAAGAGAGGAAAGGCCAGCAATGCCATGTAACCCACCTGTGACCTGAGCTCCTCCTGAAGCCTCACTTCTAAGCCACATGCTGAACTGGGGACTTTTCCACCACAGCCATGCATGTGCAAACGCGCACACACGTGCACACACATGCACACGCACAACACTTCCAGCACCACTGCCTGGAGGGATCTGCAGGCCTTGGGTTGCAGTCCAGGATTCATCCCGACCCTCGTTTCTAATGCTGGTCCCCACTCCCACAAGCACAGTCCCCAGAGAAATGGCAAAGCCCGGGGCTAAGGCCCAGCAGCCAGAGAAGCACTCAACATGGGACGGGGCTGGCAGAAGGACACAGGCGCCAACTGGAAAGGGCTGCGCTGTCGGGTCTGGTGGACGCGAGCACTGAAGTAAGGAAATGCATCGTGGTGGACAGGATGACGGCCTACAGCTGTCTGGGCCCTGGTCCTCAGAGCGCGGCGGCGCTGCTGCACGGGGCACGGGGACTTCTTAGACACAATCGAGGATTCCGAGAGGGGAGATGAGTAACAAGGACAGCTATATGAGCAGACAAGCAGGAGGGCAGTGTCGGGAGACCGGAAGGTGCTTCCTGGAGCGGGAAGATGGGCAGGAACCGAGGAAGCTGGGCCTCAGAGGGGAACGAACGGATCCTTGCACTGAAGCTTCCAGAAAAACAGCCACACTGACACAGGACTGTAGTCCTGAAGACCCAGTTCTGGCTTCTGACCTTGAGAACTGTAAGATCACAAATCTGGGGGTTCTGTTTTGTCTTGTGGTACTGGAGACTGACCCAGGACCTGCACCTTTAGCTACATCCCAGCCTTTTAAAATTTTATTTTGAGACAAGTTCTCTCCAGGCCATGCACTGCGTCCACCGCTGACTGCACTGTGCCCCACGACCGCAGCGTGCCTTCGCCACCCTGGGAGGCTGGGAGGTGAGCGTTCCAGCAGGCGCATTTCGGGAAGGCCAGTCAGCTCAGCTGCCCCGCAGACGCCCTGGGGAGTCCACTGCGGAGTCACGGGGTCTGAGTACTCAGGCAAATCCCATTCTGCCCCCGGGTCCAGGGGGGTGTGGCGGTCCACGCTCCTGCCTGTGGCTTCGGAGAGCCCTCCAACACAGTTGAACCCACACAGTTGGCTTAAAATGAAATACTCAATACAAACATCAGTCTTCAGTTCAAAATTTACAAAAGGGCAGGCTTTTCATTTTTCTTAATCATTAAGGTTTACCTTTTTAAAGATCAAAGAAATAGAAATGCATTTTACCAAAGTGTATTATTACCAGAGTTTTCATTATAAAAAGAAAAAGAAAAAAAAAGGACTCTCCTCTACATCCCGCTTTCTATGAGCATCGGGGAGGCTGCCGTGAGGACGGTTCTCTGTGGGCCAACACTGCTCAGCAGCCGCGCCCTGGCTCCCAGGCCCACAAGCTGCCTAGAGACCTGAGTTAATGCGCCGAGCCACTTCCAAGTTACAAAGGGTGGAGCTCTTCCCCCACCACCTTCCAGTCATGCTCAACAAGAGGTAATTGGAAGATTCCCCATGAGTGATGGCATTAAAACATATTTTCATGAAGCAGTAAGTTGCAACAATTCCTTTTCCATCATAATAGAGACATGGTTTCAATCATTAGTGGGCTTACATTTCAACTAGAAAATAAACTAATTAAAGTTCTATTTAAATGCAGTGCAGATATTTACAAGCCCCAGATCTTAACATGTTAGTTGTGAGGTTACTGTTCATTAGGCAAACAGTCAATAAACAACATCCCAACAAGCACTATCTCACCGCAGACAGACGTGGGGTTCACTGTCAGGGAAGCGACTGAAACAGGGTTTCTAGGTGGGGTGCGGCTACAGGAATAACACTTACTGAAAACAAAGGAAAATGCCAGATGAAGCGCAGAAACCCAAAACCTTAAAATTATTTACAGTCTGAAAATACAGCGCGGGACCTTTCAGGCCAACTCTGGAGGAAAGGCCAGGCAGCGCGTGGGCTGGAGTGTGGCCGGTGTTGACCCCTGGGGCCTTGGCCAGCTGCCCGGAGCAGGGGAGCCCATGAGGCTCCTACACCGAGCAGCCAGCGCCTGTGCAGAGGATGCACCCCTGGATTCCACAAAACCAGGTGTGCACACAAACCCTGCACAAGCGTGCCCGGGAGACTGTGGTGGCCAACCTGTGGTCTCAGGGGTGTACCAGGGAGCCAGGGGCCTTCCCCGAGGAAGCAACTCCAGACTCCGACTCAGGGAATGTTGGGGACTGGGTGGGGCCTCGACCAAGAGGTGCACTGTCTTCAACTCTGGAATTCCCAGACCTGCTGTAGAGCAGCCACACCCAGCAAATGGAACGATTAAAACACATGGTGGAGAATAACTACAAGGGAACAGCAAAGTATTAAAAAGCAATATGGATTTGAAGAAAGAGAATCTCTAGAAATGGAAGAACTACGAATGAAACAACCAAATCAAACAGAGTGGCTGCATTTGGCAGCAGGATGGACACAGAAGACAGAACAGGACAAATAAAACCACTCAGAATATAACGATGAAAGGGACAAAGATAGCAAATCTGGAAAGCAGTGCGAAGGCTTGACGTCCCTAAGATCTGAGTTCAAGCAGATAGTGATAATAGCAGAGAAATTCGCAGACCAATGAGAAGGAAGAGCCCAGTGCCCACAGGCACAGAAACTCCTAAAAGAATAAATAAAAGAGACAGCCACATTCGGTTCCATTGAAACGGAAAGGAACAAAGGGCAGAGTTGAGACTGACAGTCTCAAAGCTGGGCAGAGACTGAGATCTCCAGGCTGACGGTCTGTGGCCCGCCCGTCCTCCTAAACCTGCGAAGGTCACTGCGCCTGGAGGGTGAACTGCTGACTCACAGCTGCCTGCGCCTCCCTATGTCTGAGAGAGAAACTGTGAAAGCACCGTTTCCCTGCGCCTCCCTACCCCGCTGCTAAGTTCTGCTTCTGTAAAACTCTGCTTGCTTCTCCGCCCTGCCAATAGAGCGAGAGTAAAATGAAAACAAGCGTAGAATCAGGCTGAGACTCTGGAAGGTGACTTCCGCTGGGCGCCTAGCGAATAAAGCTGCCTTTCCCTTCGATTCTCCCAGGGCGCTCTCTTCCTTGGTCTGCCTGCCTCTGAGCGCCATTTCACCCTCACAGTGAGTCTGCAGAACTCCAAAGATACTGCCTATCAAAAAACAAGTTTTAGAATGAGCTAACAGATAGAAAGAGAAATTACCTTCAGAGGGAACACTAACTCAGAACACAAGAGAGAGTAAAGGAGAGAAGGAACAAGCCTAGCAGGAGCGGAACCGGCAAGAACACCTGCAACCTAGAACAATCTCACACTTGGCAAAGATGTCCCTCAAGAACAAGGACTTTATCAGGCCTGGGGCAGCACTAAGCATCCAAGTTTAATGAAGGCTGACAAGATGCAAGTGGTCAGAAATCAGGGAGGACCACCGGAAAGAGAACAGACTAGGAGAACAAAGCGAGCAGACACTACGTGGGCAAACCAAACACGGACGGGAAGGCCACCCACCTCGCTCCTCTGAAGACCACTCATGCCAGGGTCTCCAGGGACACCGGCCAGTACATGAAGGAAAGGCGCAGTGAGCGGGCAGCCCTGGAGCACAGAGCCCAGGGCTGCCCTCTGCATCCAAGAAGACACAGGCCAGTGCCCGCCACCAGGAGCTGTCTGTACCAGCACCCGCAGCACTGAACCACTGGGAGTCTACGTGCTGGTAGAGGCCAGGAAAGGCAAGAGAATCGCAAGCAAGGAAAAGTCCCAGCACAGCAGATGGAGGACACAGATCCCCTGGGTCCATCTCTGGAGGGCCACGTCCAGGCCGGCAACATGTCTCCAGGTCTCGTGAGACCATAATCATCAAAAAGACAAAGAGCAGGGCTCCCCTGAGGCTGCAGAACTGACCGTATCGCGGTGGCCTTCCAGCAGCACAGGGTACTGTATGATGGCTTCGAAAGCTGACAGCGAGACCCTGATGAATTCTTCAGATGCCGCCGATCCTGGGAACACACCAATTGTTCCTCTCAGGTCTGTGAGCTTCCTGAAGCTCAGTCCTGAGTACTCACGTGCAGGCCCAGGTGGCCTGAGGTCTACTCACCCACAGCTCCTTCTATGTTGCTTTCTCCCGAGTCTACTGACCTGATGTGACTCTGAAAAAAAAGAAAAGTCTCACTCAGCGGACCTTTGGAAACCAATGAAATAGAATTCAGGAGGTCCATATATTGCACAAAACTGCTCCCGTCGTTCTTATGAAATGAGTCGTGAAAACATCAGATACTCTGCAGGTACCACAGATAACAGGAACTCAGCTTTCAAACAGGATCCCGTCGATACTATAAACAACAGGCCCTAGTCAGTAAATATGCAAGTCACAATCGCGGGCTGATGCTGGGACACATTTGGTGAAGGCCCAGACTCGGGAAGCAGGGGAGACACTCACTCAGGAGGGCGCATCCCAGAGGAGCGACCAGCCCCAGCCACCACTGAGGATAGAGGCAGCCAGGCCATAGGCAGCGGTCTCAGGCCGGCTCGGCTCCGCCTGCTGTCTCAGCAGCTCCCTCACACCAACCCTACACCCTGGCTCGTGCCCCTGCTGCACACTGGTGCCCCACGACGGAGGCCCCAGGGCTGTCCAGCTCAACCTTGGAGACGGGTCTTCGAGGCCCTGCTGAACACCTGGGACAGAACGGAGCTCTGTGGACGGGAGTTGACGGGGAGAGCGCTGCCACATTTCTAAGGTGCAGACGGTTCCTGCCCTCCGCTCACCAAACTGCACATACGTTTTATACACAACAAATCCAAATTAAATGCCAGATGACCCCGGAACCAAAAATAACATTACAGTCACCAACCAGCAAGCTCCTGGAAGATCATCTCTCACCTGTGGGTGGCAACCATTCTTGCTACACAACTACAAGAACAACTTCACTTTAACCAGACCCCTCTAAAGCATTTGGAAAAATCTCAGTTCCATTTATTATAAGAGGAAGACTGGAGACACTGTGCAACAATGGTCCCCGCTTCTCCTTTTGGACATCTTTCTCAGATTATCAACAATACGTATGGTAACCGCTTGAGCACAGTGGGAAGGCAAGACAACTCATGAGCCACAACCTAGACAAGAAGATGAACTCGTGAACAGAAACCACAGTAAAGATGGCACAATGATCTGCTTTCATGTCTACCTTTAGCATCAAAGGTAAAATAAATTAAAAACTAAACTGAGCTTTACTTAGGAAAAGGCAGTCGTAAAGAGAGACAAGACGCACAACAGGATAGCACAGGACCAAGCTGGTCACGACGGAAGCATGTTTAGTATTCCATTTCCACATTTTATTTTACACTTTTTATCAGAACAAAAATCTATGAAAGCGTTTCTGTGGACTTATTTACCATATTTGGGGCTGTCTCTGAACAGAACACATTATCAGGACAGAATATATTTTCTCTTCAAATGTCAACTTCTATTACAGTCAACAGATAAAAATACAAAAAGGTCACTTCCCTAGAGACAAATAAATGTCACTGAAATTTTTAAATTACCGCATATTGACATCACATTCCACACACAGTAGAGAAACAGCCACAGTTTTAGTATGAACGTAAAACACTTAGTGGAGTTACTCACAAGAATAGTCCCATAACTGAAGAGAAACTCCTCCGTTACAACTTGCGGTCGAAATACCTGTGTGTGGTAAAAGTTTCCACAGATTAAATCCTGAAACCCAAGACCAATTTTAATTCAAGAAACAAAAATGTTTTGTCTCAGTTGACATTTCTTAGCTACTTTACAAAACAGGGAGCCAAATTTATAAGACAGGATCGAAACTCTCCCCACTGCTTTGAACCCACTCATCCCAGCGTCCTTGCCACTCTCTGCAGCTGCTCTGGAGCCCCCTTTCCTGAGTGCCTTTAGTTGCGCTGCTCTGACAGCCTTGATGTCTTGAATGGATTCAAAACATTTTCCTTTCATGATCATTTTGACTCTGGGGAAGAGCGAGAGGTCCCACAGTGTGAGGACCGGTGAATAAGGTGGGTGAGGGCACAGCACCATGTTTTTACACGCTGCCTTTCTGCTGGATGGCACTCAGCCACAGCAGTCACTGTATTTTTGATCATTTTCCTCAAAGACACTAATAAAAGAGGACTCTAGAGTGGCCCCAGGAAGTGGCAAGGACGATGGGATGAGTGTGCTTGAGGCCAGGGCAGGATTCTGAAGGGGATTCACAGCAATGTGTTGTCGACTGTGGTCAACTTGTTAAAATTCAACCACACAGCATGCTGATCACACCTGGCCACGCCCTTCCTCACTGAAGCAGCCGTACCTGGGCAGTGAGGAGGTGAAGCACGACGGGCATCAGCGGCAGGCATGTCTTCAGCTGCTTCCCCTGGACAGTGGATGGGTGCTTCCGGCCGGAGATGCTGGCCAAGGCGTTCAGAATGTCACCTGCAGAGCACAGCGCAGAGAGGGCACCGGCTACAGAGCCCGAGGGTGTGGAGCCACAGTCAGGGATCCATCACTAGTGGGAATTCCAAGGTAATCGACCTCCAAATATAAGTGCCGGCCACATCCCTTCCACTTACAAACACTGAACTTAGACACATGTGGCCCGGGGGACAAATTGGGGTGTTCTGCGTGCACACTTTCAATTAGCCTCATGTCCAGAAATTAAAAACAGAATCTATAAAAATCATGGTAGAGTGGTGATTTCGGAATTTTCTTATGCATTTCATGAAGTTCAACTACCATCACATTACTTTGGTATACAGGAATAATCATTTTAAAGTTACTTTATATAAATGAACAACTTATAGATCACAACTTTTTTTAAAAGGAGAACAGGATGGAAGTGGAGAGTTCTATTCCCAAAACTTTTCATTGGACAATAACATATATAATTATATATAATAAACATACTGACATTGGGACATTGAAATCTTATCTTTGGATGTGAAAATACAGTCTGGTAATAGGAATCTTAGCTCCTAAACAACCAGATCATAACCTTCAGGTTGGAGGTAAACAAAAGTTAGAATCCAGAATGAATTTGGGGGTGCTGTACTTTCAATCATTAGCAGCAAAAAAGTCTCAAAATATAATAACAAAAAGTTACTGTGGTTGGGTGTGAAGAGATTTTCACCATTTTTAGTTAATACTCTGAATTTCTGAATCATCACCATGCTTTAGGACAATGGCTTAAATAAAATTTAATATTTTTAACACTTCTGTTTATAGCTACATCTGCTGGAAAAGCATGAAAAGGAATTGAAGGAATGTGGACACATTCCACATTTTAATTTCTGCAATAACAAAATAAGAGATTTTGTTGTAGTAAACATCCTTTGCAAATCATTAATACTGTCTTAAAGATAATTTTCAAACCAAAGAAATTTTTAAAATTTGAACTTAAATACAGACCAATATTGTCAAAATTCTTTACATTTTAGCACTTCAATTTTTAAAAGCTAGGTATTTTAAAGTTCTTCTAATAAACTGATTTGTGGCTCTAAACTCAAGGGAAAATTATTTTTTTCAGATTTAAGTGGAGAGAAACCTTGAGAAAAGTTACCAGAAAATTTGTGTGAATGCAACTATAAGCAGTTAAAATGCTTTCATTTGTTTATACTCTAAAACGCTCAGTTTACTTCCAATAACGCCTCACTGTAACATTTAGCCTTGTCTCAAGATCACTGATGCAAAATAATTATTATAAATATAGATAAGGACAATTTAAATCTTGAAACTATACAAGAAGGCAAGTGACACTGCATTCATTCTCCTGCAAGAAAGGAAAGAGAGAGTGAGAAAGAGCCAAGGTCTTTAGCCCAAACCAGTGAGGTGAGAACAGCCAGGCCTGAGGGTGTGACTTCAGTTTACCCAGGATCCGAGGCAGCTCCTGGGCGATGTGGCACACAAGCAGCTCCAGGCATCTGGACAAGTATTCACCGCTGCTCTGCTGCTCCCTGCTGGGAGTGGTCTTTCTGCTGTCTCTCTCAATGTACATCACCAGCCTACAAATGGGAAAGCAGAGGTCACCTCTCACAGTATGACAGTGGGTAGCATCAGTCCAGAAACGCCGTTATGGCCAGTGCGTCCACAGGGCACTGTCCCCATCAGACTGGCGTTTAGAGCCTTAGTGGCTTGGTCAGGCACGGCCTGATTCTGCCTCAGCTCAAGACACATAGGCAGAAAGAAAATGAGCTGGCTTTGAATCTATCTGCCAGGGTATTTCAAAATCATGTGCCTTTGGCCAATGAAGAAAACGACATTTTTCCAGATGAATAATGAAAGGCGAAGATGTCAATATACAGGGGCTACTGGTTTTCAAAGACTGCAGGTGAACCCACGAACTGACTACACCATTGTTGGTCATTAGCATTAGCCTTGCTTGGAACCCCCAGGCAACTCACATGAATCCCAACTCAGCAAACTGTGTCCAAAGAAAAGGTTTCCTGTCAATACAGGGCTGTAGAGACAGCAGAGACTCGTGAAGCGTCTGGATCTCCTATGTCTTTGTCTACTGGTGTTACGACACCTGCCTTTCAACCCAACTAAACCACATCACTCTGAAGCAAGGGCTACCGATGCAGACTGAGGGCGCCCTGCAGTCACCTGAAACTGAGCCCCGCCACACACTTTCTTCCTCGCTGGGCCTTCGAGTCCTCTGCCCGAGCCCCCAGGCCTTTCTCCTCACATGGAAGCTCCTCTGTGGCAATGCCCCTGCTCACATCATCTACCACTCACGTCGAGGCAGGAAGACTGGGTCTGCACACACTGCAAGCAGACGCTGACGGCCCATGGAACCTCACACCGCACGGGCGTGGCTCTCCTACCAGGCGCATCGGTGCACTCGCCTTTCTGTGCTTTACTGCTGGAGCCCTGCAGTGAACACACGGGTGCGAGCCTGAGTCGGGAGGCCCACTAGGGCTGCACCGGTGGGTCAGCACCCTCTGCTCGGTTGCCGCTGACCACCCTGGCCACACTAATACGACCGTGGTTAAATGCAGAGTACTGAGGTCAGCACAGAAGTGTCCAGAGTCAGAACTTCCTGATGGTGCAGAAACCGGAGGACAGCAAGGCTTTCTCCCTTCCATGACACATGGGCGCCGAAAGCACAGTCGCTACACTGCGAAGAGCACCACAGGCCAGCTGGAGCCGGGGCGCCAGGGAGCTGCGCAGTCGCACGATCACCGCCCTTGTAGCTGTGTGGAGGCCGCAGCACTTCTGAGACCGCTTAGTCACTGCTCCACACTCCAACCACACAACAGGACCAGCAAAGACCTTCCCGAGGGGCGAGGAGAACCATTCTGCGCAGTCAGGCTGCCGGCCCCCTCCCTGTCAGCTCCTCCTCCTGCAGAACAGATTTCCCAAAATCAGAGAGTACAACTAACTGCACAGCAGTGGGACACAGGCACTTCACATCCCGCTGACTGGTGTCCACCGGACGGTTCCCTGCCACCCCAGGGACCGCGCCAGCTCGGCGCGTGACACTGCCCGTTTCTTCTCACTTCCTGCACAGCTTCACGTGCGAGCTCACGTTTCATGGCCACCACGAATACCCGAGACGGGCTACTTACAGTTTACTTAGCTCACACCTCTGGGGGATCAAGAGCTAAAATCTGGGCTCGGTCTGCTCGCTGGCAGGGGAGGACCTACCATCACCAGCCAAGAGACGGGGCACTCATGTCTGTGTGTATACACGGTGTGATCGGACAAACAGTGAAGGCGTAAGTGTAGAAAAAATATTACAGTCCAGACGCTCTCAAACCCCGCCCCCACCACGCGTGCCTTCAAACACACTCGTCCCCCTGTCCTCGCCACGCTCTGCAGCAGCTCTGGAGTCCTCCTTCCTGAGGGTCTTTAGTTGTGTCGTTCTCGCTGCCTTTAGACTCTGACTCCATTGAAATGTTTCCCTTTCATGGTCATTCTGACTTTGGAGAAGAGCCAGAAGTCGTGCAGTGCCAGGTCCAGGGACTCAGGTGAATGAGGACACAGCCACGCTTGTACTAGCCAGCCCTTAGACGGTACTCACAGCAGCATTTACTGTATTTTTTATCACACTCTATAAAGACACTAACAAAAGGGGACTCCCAGAACTGCCCCAGAACGTGGAAGAACATGGGATAAGTGTGTTTGGGGAGTATCTTGAGGGGGATTGATGGCACTGTAATAAATTGTTTTCTTTAAATAGTCACGTGCTTTCAGATCACCTCGTATTGATGAACTGTTTATAGCACATTCTGTGTTCTCAGCTATCCCACTCACCAGATTTAGCACCATGCAACTTCTTTCTCTTCCCAAAGTCAAATTACCAGGAAAGGTAAACATTCTGAGTTGGTCCAGGACACTCACGTAGCCATATTAGCACAACTAGATCCTCAGGAGAGAGGACTCCAGAGGGGCTTCAGAAAGTGGCAGGCATGTGGGTGTGTTTGAGGTGAGAACTATCTTCAGGGGGATTTGTGGCAAAGTGCCTTTTCCTGTAACAAACTTTTCCAACACCCACTGTCCGTCTGTTCACACTGTGTACATGGACCCTCTCCCTCTTCCTACAAAGCCACCAGGGCCCCTTGTGGGGCTCCACCCAGTGACCTCACCTAACCCCCATCACCTCCCAGAGGCCCTGCCTCTAAACACTACCCTCTTCCTACCACACAATGGGCATTATATTTCCAAGCAGAAAGCCATGCAGGACACTCAGAGTCGACCCCATCTTCTACCATGTGACCACATACCCACCAAGCCAGCTGAGCTCCACACACGTGTGAGCACCTACACTGCACAACTGCAGAGGGCCGTTGCAGCAAGGGCAACTGGGATGGATACGCTCACAAGAAGTCCCTCAGCGTGACCCTCGGCCCGTGGAGCTACAGGTAGTGGGGGAGCCTTTCCCATGGGCCCTGGAGGAAGGTGCTGGGGGCGGGGGCTGGTAGAGTCAGCATCATCCTGGCTTTCTCTGTGCAGCCTGGTTGCCATGAGGTGAGCGGCTCTGCTCCACGGTGTACCCCACCACGATGTACTGCCTTGCCACAGACCCAAAGCCACGGGCCAACAACCATAAGTAAATCCTCTATAACTGTGAGCCAAAATAAACCTTCCCTCTTTAAGAGTTCACTTGTCTCAAGTATTTCATCACAGTGATACAAAGCTAACAGAGTAAGTTGGCAATAGCTTTAAAAATCTATTAGTTCCCATTCTAGAAGAAGTTACTCCACAGATATACTTGCACACACACAGGATGACGTGTGTCCATGGTTTGCTATGTATAACTGCAAATGTCAGCAAACGAGCACCGGCTGAGACGAGACACCGCTGAATGCGGCTGTCAGAAGCCTACCTCTGTGTTCACCGCACAGGTGCACCTGCTCTGCCTGTGACAAGCATCAGGCGAATGACACCCACTTTTGCCACCAGCTTGAGCAGTATCCACATCCCCTCGAGCCACTGCTGCAGTGGTCTCCGTGCCTGGATGGCCAAGCACGGAGAAAATGATGGGGAACCAACTTCCTAGGGGGCCCTTCTCCAGCTGCGGGATCAGAGGCTCTGCTTTCATTAAAGGGTTTACATTTTTACAGCCTGGAGCCTACAATGGGTAGAGTACTGCTAAATCCCGAGACATGCTCCAGGTGTTCTTCCAGTCCACGTTCAAAGTACAAGTCTTTGTAATAGCACAAATCTTCACCAACCACACTTTCCTTGGCTCCAGATTTATGTGTGCTTCTTTTAGGGCCAGGATGGAAGCTTTCCAAATATTTCAGCTCTTCTTTTTAGTCCTGATTCTCAACATAAAGCTGGCTAAATGCTGTCAGCAGTACCTATGCCACAGCCTGAATGTTCAGCTGCCTTTAAATTTCCACTGCCAGATCAATTAGTCCACCATCCTTAAATGTACCTCCTGCCAATTCTCAGGACATAAGCAAAACGTAGACAAAATGTGTGCCAGAATGTAACATGCGTGGCCACCTGTCCAGTTCCCAATAGCGTCCTCAATCCCACCTGAAACTGCCTGATCCTGCCATTACTATCCACATTCCTGTCCAGTTCTCACCAGAACCACCCATCAGGCTCTGCTTACAGCATATGAGGCCTTCCCTAGCCAGCATCTCCAAACCTTTCCAAACTTCTCCTGCAATCCAGCTCCAAAGGCTTCTGAACCACCTGGCCAGGTACAGTCACAGCAACAACCCCACTTCTCCAATACCATTTTCTGTATTAGTTAGCTTTCCTGCCACTTGGATAAAACACCTGACATGTACAACTTAAAAGGAGGAAATAAACTTAAAGGTTGATTTGGCTCACGGTCTCAGAGGATTCAGTCCACTACTGGCTGGCTCCCAGGAGGAAACACGGCAGAAGGGCCCAGCAGAGCAATCTGCTCACTTCGTCGCAGCTGAGAAGCAGAGCAGGAGAGTAGTGCTAGTGAGAAACACAGTACCGAAAGGCCCGTTCCAGCGGCCGCCTCAGGCCGGGGCCCCTCCTAAGAGCACATTCAGCTATGAACACAACTGAACACACTGAGGAGGGCAGAGCCCCTCATCCAACACTGCTCCAAGAGTCTCTTCCTGCAGTCAAGGTGACAATTAACAACTGGCACACTCCTCTACCTGTTGTCCCTAAGTGACTGCCACTAGACTTCATTCATTCAGGCAGAGCGGTCTTAACATTTATTCTCTAGAAAAAATAAAATCTCTGCATAGGTAAGAAGCACACCTGTAATCCCAGCACTCAGGAGGCTAAGGCAGGAGGATCGATCGCTGCAAATTCAAGGCCAGCCTAGGCTACACAGTGAGTTCAGGGCCAGCCTGAACTATACAGCGAGACCCTTTATCAAAAAACTAAACAAAACATTGACCCAAGTTCAATCCCCGGTACCAAAACAAAACAAAAAGCACACCAAGTTAAACAGAGAAGAGCCACACCAAAAATAGGAAGGCTAAGTGAATTTATGCACAGCGAATACTGAGAATTTGACTGATATTTGCTGCTTAATGATTGTGAGATATGGAGATAA